GGACTGCTCAGATTTGCCACTTTCAACTTTTTTGCTCAGTTTTTAACTTTAAATGGTCAGGTTTTCCACAGTAGACTGCTTTATTATGTAACATAATGGTGTTTTGCTGCAAACACATCTTTAATTATTAGTGTTCTTCTTCTGTGAATTACACTCTAAATTGGACGCTTTATGAACTCTAAGTAGGGACTGCTCAGATTTGCAATTTTTATCAATCATTTATTAGTGTTTTTTGGGGTAAATTTCAATTTTTGCTGTTTCGAAATTTAATAATACGACAGAATCCAGACTAAAGTGCCTCAAGGTGGTCTAGCGGATGGCGCCTCAAGAGGCTGCGAGTGGTTCTGGCGTCCTAATTGAGATTTCGCGCAAATTTTGCAAATTTCACACACTAACGAAGTGATTTTTTCCTGTTTTTTTGCTCTCCAGCATCCTTCAGGCTGCAAGTGGTCCAGATCAAGATTATAACCGGACTTGCGTCTGCTCCTCTGCGTGGCTTAAATTTAAAAAGCCTATAAATGGCATTGAGTATTTTTGAGAAAAAATCTCAGTATTTAGGGAATTTTAGCGATTTATTTCGTGGAAGTAGATGGCAACCAGGGTTGTAGTTTGTCTTTAATACTTGACGATTCTTTTATTTTATACGGCTTTTTGCGGATTTTATATTGCGGTTTTCTTTGCAGCTTTGAATTATTAATATTTTATTATGTCATTTAGGTACTTATTTTGCTAACACATATTTTTTTTAGGTAAAACAGGTAACTCTTTAAACTGCTTTTATTTTCTAATAACCACTTTTCCTTGCAGCTTTGATCCGTTTATGTTGAAGGATCAACTTTTTCCCTCTCTGGGGGAGTCATCACTTTGTCGTTAGTGAGAGGGCCTAGTAGCCTTAAATCCGGGGAGCGATGCCGGCGGCAGCGTAGCTACCAGCGACAAGGAATTATTGCTTGTCTCTGATAGCTACAAGTACGCCGGTAAGTTCTTGAAGCGATTAAGGCGAAGCTAAGAAGACTCCCATGCGGCCGCAAAGAGCGTCACTTCTCCATGTTAGCGGCACTTCTCCATGTTCCAAAAAGTATTCACCAACATGCTCGGCAAGCGTGACCTTTTAAGTGCTACTCCAAAACTCACACTGAATCTGAAGGGAGAAACAGTTCGAAAAAGGGACCACGAGAGAAAAGACCCTTAAAACTCATTTAACCTTTACATATTCTACTAATAACATAAGAATATAAAGAAGTATTTATAGACCAACTCGAAGAGTTCGAAGAAGAACTCAACCACATAAAGGCAATAATACGCTTGAATCCAGATCAAAGATATGTGGAACTTGTTGATCACATTATGTTGGAATTGGTGTTTAATCGATAACATTATTTCGAGCATAGATGAAGACAACTATTCGAGTAAGAATTAGTGCATATACATACCCGTTTTAGTAGTTAGAAGTTTGTTTTGATTAACGTAACCTCAAACTGACTTGCGCATGACTATTAAGCAGGGAGCCGATTGCGATATATGCGCTAGTCAAAGAGTGACAACAGCAGAGACAACTTGACAAGAGAAGACGAACAGGACTTGTCTCTGGCAACACTGCCCTAGTCCTGTCACTCCCAGACATTTATCAAATTTCCAGTGATTACGTGATTACTTAACACTAAGTTCCAGGCCAAAATGTAAGTTTTTCTGCTTATTTCGCCACTTAGCTTGGTGAAAACTATCGCATATTACCGTGCAACCATTGAACTACAACAGCCAATAACCACTAAGTGTGCATTGGCCTGTTTCAGAATGTACGCAGCAACTGTTCCCAGACTGGCTCAAGGAGCCCAAAAGGTGGCCCAACAGACTAGAAACATGTCCGTGTTGTCTGGACCACCAACAGTAAGAATATCTGGCACGGAAAAATTGCTCCATGGACTGGCCATTGCCATCGGGATGACCGCTACCCCCGCATGGGTACTAGTCAACATTAAACACTACAAAGGCTCGTCTTAAGCGCATTTTTGTTAAATGAAACGCTTGTAGTTAAGTAATAAACGTAGATTTAAGACCAATTGGCTACTCTCCTCAACACATCAGTTAATATTTCTTTTTGACTTTAGCCGCAGGTGCATTGGGATTCTGCCCTTTGTAAAAGTCCTTCAGCAACTGCATAGCTTCATCTGCCTTGTAGCCGCCTTTAATCAATGTGGAGGGCTTTAACACTTGCGCCACATCCAGCACTGTGCTTCCTCCAAATCGATCGTTCTTGCACCCGAAAGTTACACTGCGAACACTTAAATCATAAAGAGCTGCTGCACACATTATACATGGCTCTACAGTCACGTAAATGTCGATTTTCCTAAACACTTCCTTTAGTTCTAGTTGGTTGTCTTTGTAGTACTTTGTAACGTGATCAATGCAGATCATTTCCGCATGCCGAGTGGCGTTTTTGCTCTCATTCACTTCGTTGCGTCCTACTGCAACGACTTCCTTTTCGTACACAAAGATGCAGCCAACTGGCACTTCTTGATTATCTAGAGCTTCCTTGGCAAACGCAAACGCCTTTTCCATAAACATTTGCTCTTCTTCTAGTAGGGCTTTTGAACTAGTTTCCATCGTCAGCGCGGTACTGGAAAAATGTATCCAGATTATGGGTTTGTAGAAATTCAGTAGCTTTTTTGCGCCAATCCTGGTTATTGGGCGACCGGGGGCTGGGATGGGGCAAGCACAGAACTTTAACGTTCAAATGGGCGCGCTTTAGGACAGTCAACGTGCGCTTTTCAATGTATCTTCCAATGGCTACGATTTTTTCAGGCCGCATCAGCTTGATCACCTCCAAGTAGTGCGTATCGCAAGCTGATTCCAGTGCCTTCCTTTCCTCCTGAAACTAAAAAGAGTCATGCTGGATGGTGAAAACATACAGAGTTTAATTAAGAGGCTTTTGTGACTATCGCGTTTGAATCTTTTGCACTTTTATGCCAGTTGCGCTGGAGTCCAACGAAGCCATTGCGGGTTTAAGTTTCGGTCAACTTTTCCACGAATTTTCGCCGGAGTTAATCTCAATAAAAACGTGAATGAATAAGGTGGATTTGCTTTTGGCAATCTGATGGAAAATCTTTGTACCTTCATATCACTTGGAGTTACGTTCCGCCCGCTGCTCTCCATAAAGGCTAAGGGGCAGTAGTTGTGAACGAAAGCGTTTTGGAAAAAACTAGCAGCTGTTCCACATCGTGCAGCCCAAAATCCCCAGAACTTGTCGCCACTTGGCTCTTTGCGGGCGCTCCTGAAGCCCTGAACGAGCCGTTTGGGGCATTCTGTGGCCGGTTTTGACACGGAACCTTCGATCTGAAGCCAGTTCCGAACCCAATTCGGATCGCCGAAAGGAACGCCAGTCTGGCACATTCCATTCGGGCCGGGATTCATCCCCACAAGGAGCAGTGGTTTTCGTGCTGAGCAGTACTTTTTGTGGTACAGTTCATGAGGAATGTGCGCGTATTCCGTAGGGTTATACACATAATGCACCGGTGGTTTAACAAAGTCGATTTGATTCAAACGCATATTCAAATTGGTCTGAATCTCCAAAAAAGCATCAGCCAAAGATTTAGCGGGGGCTGCGTCTTGGCCGCCGGGGAAAAACCTGGAAACTTGCTCGGAGCGCCGGGTTTCCAAAGACGAGGCAAAAAGTTCAGAATTTTGATCTTCAGAAGCCCCTTTTGGATGACTGGGAGATTCAAACAGTTTTCTCCTCAACATGTCTTTCAGTCTGGCGTTGTGAGTTACTTACTTCCAAACTACAGTGAACACTACCATAGAGTATTTTATTTTCTCTATGAACACTACTAAAACACTCGTTCAAATGAAGACAATTGAATATCACAAAATATCTCCCCTATGTGGTATGTTCTCTGATTGAATATTTCGGTTTTAACCAGCGTAAACAAGTTTGACACATGTTTGACAGAACACAGAGGTTAGTATTCTGGTGATCACAGAAAACTCGCAACTCCAGCCAAAGCATTTTCTGTGCTGGTGATCGTGTACTTTCCGTATGGTAATCCGCATTTTTTCCCTTCATATTAAGTGCTTTAAAGGAAAATTAAAAAAATGCTAAAAATCGCCAGACATAAAGTACATGATCACCATGTTGCCAGTTCGTCACGAAAGAGGTATAGACAGACAGCTTCCGCATCCAAAAAAAAAAAACTACCGCACAGAATTTATTTATTGGTCTACGCTTCCAAAAAGCAGTTTTCCCTCAATATTTGGCTATAAGAGATACACAAATAAATACTCCAGGATTATCAAAAGAGATAAACTTTTGAGGCCATTCCTTGTAACTAATGGGTATTTAGGCCGTCGTAAAATGGAATTTCTTCCTGACGTTTCGCAAGCACGAGTGGCTTGCATCTTCAGAAGTGGTTTGCTTGAACGCTTACACTGTTCCGATGCGATTCCTCGGGCGCCGTCCGTATTTATGCA